TTAGGATAATAGCTCTGTGGTTAACACAGTCTGTGCGACTGCCCTTCGTGTAGATCGTCACTATGATCGATTCGCTCCAGTTAACTAGGAAGGCCTCTTCCGGCCAGACCTGTTCCAACAGGGAGGACGACCTTACCGCTATCTTCACATAGTGCGGCTACGAAGGAATCCAGGCGAGCAGGTCGAGAATGATTGAGGGTTGTGATCGCATTTGGGATCTTAGCCTCTGATGCTGAGTTTAAACTAACCATCGACGACTTAGTCTGCATCAGTTGACTAGGAAGGGGTCCGGAAGCAGAGGCCAGCTAAACTGATCTCGAAAGCGTCCATATTGTGAATCAGGGCACGCGCGCTGTCTCTGATCACCTCACTGAAGCCTGGTTTGCCGGAACCAGTGGTGCGGATCAGTTGGTAGAGCTCGCGATAGTTATCTACCGCTCCTACCTCCTCTATTTGTTGAGCCCGACTAGTCCATCACACAGGCTCCGCTTTAGTTTGGACCGGACAGTCTATTTGGTTACATTGTACTTAGAGCCAGCCGAGAGGTTGCTTCAGCATTCCTAAGGGTTCGTCGATCTATCGAATACCCAGTGACTGGTGCAGTTACAGTTCCGTAAGCAGTCGATTCCGCATTGTGCGTGGCGGCCGAGATCCTATTCCTTTGAAGTCCATTATCATGGGGCAAGATAGCGAAGGTTCGGTGAGCAGAGGATCCTGGTATGCATGCGTGACGGAGGTCTGGGATAACTTCGCGTCTGCCAATCGAGAGGCGCTTAGTACGCCTCCCACTAAAGTTCAGAGAAAAGCGAAGGTGGACCAAAGCAAGATCAGAGTCGACGCAAGTATTTCAGTACGCGGCAATCCAGGATGGAAGCACGCCATCCGCAACTTATGGCTACATTATCTATTTGCGTCCATCGTTAGCCAGGTAGAAGGTGATGTCAAGTAGCGATTCAGCGTCCACTGTGTTTAAAAGTAATGCTACTATGATACAGCCGGCTTTCCGCGCACAGTTGCAATAGACGTTAGCCGTTGTCTCTACGGTCGGATATAAGTGTATGCTTTCCACCAAGTCAAGCTTCGAAAGAGCTCAAGCGACCTACTTGCGCAATAATGTCCCGAGCAACAAGACGATATCTGAATTGGTAATAATGCGAAGCAGGGTGTGCACTGAAGGGTAGAAGTAGTCCTTGGCAGTGTTAAAAATGTAATCCGTGGGAGCATAAGCGGCAACCGCAAACAAAAAGCCTCTAGTGCTACTTCGTGATCTAACCTTAGTTGATGTCGTCAAACGAAAAGTTCACAGTAATTCAATCAACCAACAATGACGCAGCCTTGGAGTTGAGATCGATGCCACTCCAGCTTGAGGGTCATTGATCCTAGTTTTGAACACACAATACATGTCAATACCCAGGGTGTCCAAAGTGCGTGCGAGTGCAGCCTGTTGAATTATTTGTCTTTGAGTGCGAGCGTGGCTGTGTGAAGACAGCTGCAGATAGCAAAAGTCTAGTGATGTAACAGCTGTTGGAGCTGTAGAACGTTAGTAATTGGAACGAGATGGGGTAGGAGAAAAAGGTAGAAAAGAAGGGAGGTATCAGAAATGTGAGGGAGTTGACAGCTGGGGCTAACGGAATTGCCTGCCGCAGTGTGGTCGATCAGGCGATCGATCGAGTGGGCAGGTGAGTTTTTAAAATCACAGTTAGTTGTACGTTGCCTTAAATTTGTGAATACAGCGTTTATGTGCATAGCCGGTGTGCTTTCTTTCCATTGACGCGGCTGGCAGAACCATGCACGTAACATGGTGACAGAGGGAAAGAAGAACCCGATGAGCGATCAGCAGTTTTGCTTTGGATAGCAGCCACTTGTAGTGGTGCCTACTCCATTAGAGATGACGGAGGGTGCGCTGCCCGAAAACTGGCGCCTGTGGAGAGCGGTGGATGAACTTCGCGACACTGACCGAATTGGATGGGTATCCGATGCCGTATCAGTTAGCCATGTTCAGACATGACATCGGCCATGATGCGGTATGAATACTAGCAGTCTGGAATCTCTGCGATCATGGCCAAAAACCGGATCTTTCAGAAACGCTCGAGCGATTTGGTGATTATTGTGAAGGCCGGTTAGGCCATTTCGCTCGTCGCCGTCCACCGACCAACATTAGCTCACTTGGTAGCGTAAATCCGCAAGAAGCGCAAGAAATGGCAGTAAATAACATGGGGGATAACGTCGGGGAGGGGTGCATTGATGCAAAACTGCCGAATCAAGAACAACGAATTCAACTGCAAGCCGATTCTGGAGTCACCGAACATGTGAAACCGGAAAAAATCTCGACTAATCGTCTGCGATACACTTTTCGAAAGCGCTCACGGCGGCGAAAGATGGGCCACAAAAATGAGCCAAGGCAGCCTCATAATCTAGCGCCTAGAGTCGGAGTATGTTCTAAACAGATACCTAAAGCTGAACGGCGTCGGAAGAGAAGAGCAGCTGTGGGTCGAAAAAGAAAGGGAAGCTGTCGATTGCGGCTGAAAAGGCAGTGTGTTGAACATGCTGTGCACTCGGAAGAGAAGGCGTATCAGCAGCATAAGGCAACTAAGATCTCAGCCCAGGTTCGAAAGCTCTGCCGCAGTGGAAGACGTTACGGAATCTGCAACACCGAAACGAAAAGCAACGAAAAGCCAGGAGGAGAAGCCAATTAGTCGTAATTCTAGTAAGTATGTGGTGAATTTATCAGACGTAGAGCATTACAGTTAGAAGCATTGTCATACGGGCCTGATTATAAAGTTCCCTCTAGGAGGCTGAACGAGTTGTTTAGAGAAGCAAAATTTGAGAACTGTTTTGATCAATTTAAAGAGTTTCAACCATCCAGTCCAGATATCTTTGTTTGGTTTATAAGCAAATTGACTGATATCGCCCAAGAAGCAAGGACTGTCAGGGAGTGAAAATGTGCAATTACATGTCGACACCTTCAGGTGCTACGCGAACTACGTGCCAAGAACGTAGTTGTGATGAAACTGGATAAGGGCACTGGAGTGTTTGTCATGAATAAGGCCGAGTACGCTCAGAAAATGTGTCACTTAACTACACGAGCAGGTTTGAAAGACTTACGGTGAGGAACTGACGTTGAAGCTCGCATAGCTGCCCATCTTGAAACGCTTCTTCATTGTGTGATTGATAATGACATCTATAACCGTTCGAAGCCAAGCAGCAGCACTACTCCACAGCTGTATGGGTCACCGAAAACGCACAAGAGCGGAAGGCCACTTAGACCGATTCTATCGGTGATAAATGCGCCACAACACAAATTAGCTCGTTGGCGACAACTGGCCAATCCCAATATTGTTAAGGATTCCTTTCAACTTATCGATGGCTTGGATAACAGCAACCTGTGTTCATTGGATGTGGAATTTCTGTTCACTAACGTCCCGCTACACCAGTCAGCTGATTACACCTACAACTAGCTGAGCAATATGGTTAATCGTTAACAATTCTAGTCGAATTCCTAAAAGAATCATTGCTGTGTGTACTGAAAGTGTTAACTTCCACTTTCAGAATATGCCATACTGTCAAATCGATGGAATGCCAATGGGTAGCCCACTAGGCCCTGTACTCGTTGCTTTTTTTATGCTGATGGTATAAAAGGCATATCTACCGAAATAGCCAAGATGCTATACTGCAAGCGCTATTTGAATGATAAACTGGCCTTGTGCTAATAGGTGAAGCAGCTTACCGGCGCACATGCCAACCTGCGAGTCAACTGTGAGGTGGATCAGAACTGTTTACCATTTTTTGACATCCCTATCAGTCGCAAGGATGACTGACTAATAAAGAGGTCTGTCTACAGAAAAGCTACATGATCCGGCCAATACTTGCATTTCACCAGCTTCACATTAATATGGTACAAACGGACACTTGTGAAAACTTTAATTAGCCGCGTTAGACGAATTTGCTAGGCGGATTGTCTGGTCAAGGAGCCAAAGTTAATTACAACTACGCTCATGGCGAATGGTTACCCTTGCATATTCATAGAGAAACACAGTCAACAGCGAGGTCCAAGAGACTTAGTACATATAACAACAAAGAAAAATAGCTATATCGAGTTGCTTTTCAAGAGTGCCTACTCTACACTGAAGACCACCAAACGTTTAATTTCTGCTACGCTGTTCAAGTTGTGGTCATTAACCGAACTCGTAATTTGCCGGTTCCTCTAACGACGGAAGCTTAGCCAATCGGGGATAATTCACACTGCATAAAGCAATTCGTATGCGGCTACAGAGCCAGTTACACAGTCAGAACTGAGCAGGCTTTGATTTCCCGAGTAAAGAAACACGTGCCGAGTTGGGTCAAAAGTGAAACTGATCAACATCCCTGCTCGCCTCCCTGAATCTTCGTGCTCGTGAAGGCCGCTAGCTTCCTCAATAGGTAGACACGTACTGGTCACGCGTCACCCGATAGAGCTCGGATCAGCGCCCACAATCTTGTCACACCACTCTAATCCCCGCTTCATCCGTTTCGCCTAGGCCGTGGCAATAAGCCGGATGAAACCAGTCCTGTGGGTTCAAAAACAATGATTTATCAGCTTAAGCATGCCATGGACACAGAAATGGAACTTCGGTCATTCATTTTGCACCTCAAGCTTGTAGGTTCACACCTATATTTACTTAGGTAGTAGCATATCGGTTTTTGGTAATAGTACTGAGGAGACAATATGAAATGTATGTGTCCACCAGCTTTCGTCTTCTTACCGCCTCGTTCAATTCAATTGGTTAAAATCATATGCATGGAGCACAATTTCGTAGTCATACGGTAAATATGGCTGGCGCCGCATTATGACACTAACCCCTTTCCCACCCTACGTTGCACGACTGGAACTATACACATCATGAACATGTAACAGCGCACCAGACATGTAGGTGACACATCCCACACCACAACCCACTGGGTAAAAGCAATTAACTCACATGCGCTCGATAAATAGACTGGAAACGACAAGCACTATTTACCTCACATTTTGAGCATGTCCTTCCAAGGTCTGAACACAGGCCTTTGTCTGATAATCCCAGATTTTGATTGTTTTGTCATCAGCGCCACTAGCCAAGTAGGGTTTGTCTCCAAATATGTAGTAGTCCACGCAGTTAACAGCGCGTTCGTGACCCTCCAATGTAAAATTTGGGCTGGATGAGCCCAAACTCCACACTTTGACGGTATGATCCAAGGAGGCACTAGCGAAAGTGTTGTTGTCCTTAGGATTAAACACCAATTGCATTACATAATGATTGTGACCCTCGAACACCTGTAACAGCAAAATTTAAGTGCGTCGAATTAGAGAAAGTAATGACACAGTATGTAGCAAAAGAAAGTAAGTGATTCAATTACTTGGGCACATGTCCAATTTTTCTCCCAGTCCCACAGGCGGATGAGCATATCATCCGACGACGTCAAGACAAAGGGTAGAGTGGGGTGAACAACTATTGATCGAATGTAATCCGCATGAGCTTCAATTTGCTGAACGCGCTCCAATGTGTTGTAGTTAAAGACGCGAAGCTAAAAATAAAACAGAAGGTGAAAAGTCAGCACCGCCGAAGGATAATGGTATGTAAACCCGTGGTGTAAAACCTAGGACTTCACGAGGGTCGCATGGGCAAATATTTGTGATATATATATATATATATATATGACTGTCATACTTCGCAAAGTTAAGTACAGTTACAGTACCGGCAGTGTGGTTCAGCTGGTTGCAGTTAGGAAAATGAGCTAAATTTCTTTTTGACAACTGTGATTTCCATAAGTTTAGTTTTGTAAGGAAGCATTTGTCATCATACAACTGAGTGATGAGTTTGTTTTTGCCTCGTAATTTCAAATTGGAATCAGTTAACTGAGCAGTAATGTCCACGGCGAATGCTAAATCCTGGAAGCAAAGTGTATCTTTCATTTTATTTATGTTTTGACCTTTCATCTCCAAAAGCGTTACTATTTCTAGTCTCAAAAAACAAAACCTCTTCAACACTTTGTAACAAGACAACAAGTGGACGTTTGTGTGGAATGGAATATCGGTAAACTGATTATCCATGTCTCCCAACAACTGGTTGAATTGATGGTGGTTGAGAGCACCGCCTCTGCTATAGTTCACAGTATTGGCGAGCAAGCTGAGCACATGATCCCATTTTAAAATCACTGAACACAAAGTTAGCTGATGAGTAATGCAGTAAAAATGTGCATATGATGAAGCTGGGTGTGATTTTTCACTTTCTGTACGCAACATAGCAGCAACATCATTATGTCTACCAACCATATTCGCAGCACCTACAGTAGATAAACATGCAAGTTTACTCAAATCCAATTACTAGTTTCGCAGAAATTGCTCGACTTTCTGAAAGATGTCCTGGATTGTTGTAGTGCTGTGCACTGGAACCAGTTCAATTTCTCATAAATAGTAAATTCGTTGTCAAACGTCTGGAGGATGTGGCCTTCAACTGGTGTTTCAAATCAACTCGCATTTCATAAATTCGTTCAGCAACAGTGTTTTTGATTAATGAAATATCTTTGAATAGGTGTGCTTTCTCTGGACAAAATTTCAGCCGTTTTCATAAGGCATTGCTTCATCACTAACATTATCATCATGGTACACGTTAGCTACAGGTGGTAAACACCTCAGCTATTGTGCCACAATACAAAAGAAAAAAATGTGCAACAGAGGCACGCCGGTGGAGTCACCAGTAGCGGATGGACATCGTTCCGGAGAGCTACCAGCCGGCTATAGTGTTGCAAAAAAGTTATATTATGTCTAATAATGGAGATGGTGGTTGGAGAGGAAGCTAAACGGGAGGAGGGACAAAGAAACAAACAACACAAATGTCATGAAGGTTGGCTCCTAGACATGTCAACAAGTGCATCCAGCTAAACGTGTTCATCGTCGTTCGGTCCCTAAACAGGGAGCTGAGAGGCCCCATCCTGGGCCAACTTCGAAGTAGAGGCGTTCATTACTCTTGGCTAAGTCATCGCTTGGCGAGCCTTCTCGTCTTCCATTCACACCCCCGGCGCCAAAACAACGCACGACGCGGGAGTCCGTGGTCTAGCATGAGCAACCCGTGGCCCATCCATCGGAAGCAGGTGCGTGAAATAACAGTGCGGAGCGGTTCGGTTCTTCTTCCTGCGCCATAAACAAGGCGCCGAACAGGCTTATTGCTCCCACGGTGTTCCCACCAGGTGTGCGCCAAACTGCAGACACCGGTGGTCGAACATCACTGGCCTCTTTACGTCGGCTGATCCAATGGGCCAGATTCCACAACCGTACAGTAGGGTCGAATGTACCTCTGCACCGTACACTCTATACTTCAGGGAGTGATGACGCGCCGGCGCCATAGGTGGCGAAGATTAGCAAAAGCGCTTCGTGTTTTTGTTATACGATTTGTGATCTCGTCTTCAATTTAGAGGACGCTGATACAACGACCTAGGTATTTGAACTTTTGAACGACTTCTAGCTGATCCCCAACAAGCGTCAGCGCAGAAGGTAGTTCCAGCTAACCTTGGAGGAGAGCTTTGCCCTCTGAAGGAGCAAAGCATAGCCCGAAACGGTTGACAGCCAGCATTAATCTATCCAGAGCCGATTGGTACATTTGTGAGCTGTCACAGAGGAGGGTAAAATCGCCAACATACCCCAAGTCAAGAAGCTGTTCTCCTGGGAGCAGATCCACACCTAAATCGTGTCCTGTGAACGCGACCTCCATAACTTCGTCAATAGCGAAGTTGAAAAGGAAAGGTGACAGCGGGCATCCTCGCCTTACACCGCTGGAGATATTGAAGGGCGACGATAGCGTGCCGTAAGCCCTAACTCTGTTCAAGCTAAGCGCGTATAGCGCTCGGATAATGTTTACATATTTCTCGCGCATACCATTCCTTAATTGTAAGAGTTCTCACTCAGGATGATCACTCGGCTGAGTAAATAGCTTGCAGTAACGGAAACCACATTCACTTTTTCGTTTTTTGTAAAGCAGGTCTGTTGCTTTCTCAAGTTACCCTTCAATTCCTTGAGTTTTGAGACACACATTATGCTTTCATATTTATCATAGGGTCGATGGTTCGTTCCATAATATTTTCATGTTGTACTCTTTCGGCGTGGCAATCCTGTCGTTGCAGACTACGCAATGCCTCGTTCTATTCACCGCTGTGAAAAATACCGTCCAATTTTTCTTTAAACAATCGGGCTTCGTACACTGTCCTTTTTCTCTTAGCTGGGATAGCACTGGCAATCATAAAGATTCTGTGGAATCTTAACAGTGCTCGTTAGATTGTAAAGAAACCATTCCACTCACTTTAACATAAATAGCAACGAAAGTTGCACGTTGGAACGAAGGTGATATCGGTTCGCATGTAGACAGTACAGTCACACAAATAATAGGTACACACCGAGCAGTGTGTGCAAGGCCGATAACCGGTTTAATCTCCGAGGGATAGGCATGATCTGAACATGCTTACGGATGCAAACAATCAAACCCCAGAGGGAGAGGCTTAAGCTGGACATGTTTACGGCAGATAGGTGAAGTGTGAAAACACATCTGCTTTTAAATCGTAACTTGCATGCCTCGCAGCCGAATTCCTGTTTATGGTGTGAATTGAAATCGACTAAGAGATGATTGGCTATTTCAAGGTGTAAAAGACATTCTGAACAAAAAACAGTATGTAGTTTTTCTGTACGGGCTGCAGGGGTACTTGGAAAGAGCCGGGTGTTTTACAGCCCCTCATGTAAACCGCTGTTAAAGAGTAGAAACAGAATGTATCAGCAGTATGCCGGTACAATCTGCCAACGCTTCGCTGCCACGAGTCCATTAAGTCGCGCGTGGGCTGAGCATACACAGAGGTCGCACCCATCTATGCGGATTCGAAGCGGTGACCTCAGGATTACAAGGTAATCGCGTAATCTTTTCGACCACAGGTCGAACTGTCGAAGAATACTCTCAGTTGACGGACCAATGTGCTTTACCCGTCAGCGTTATGACGGAAGCTTGGATGTTGGGAAGAACATATGCATAACAAAGACTGCAATAACAAAGACTGCAATAAAAAAGAAATAATCACAGTCAACAGTCAATCATGCAGGTAAGCGGACGTCACCCATGATTTAGTGGCACATGCTGCTGGCATCCGGAAGTCATGGGGTCGGAAGCCGGCAGGGGTCCGAGGCAGGCGTACCACTGAGGAGACCCAGAAGGTTGAAACAGCGCTGTCCGGTACCTTTCCAGACTTGTCAAAGCCTACTGACTGAGAGTAAACTGTGAGGAATTATCTCTGAAATAAATTATGACACCAAGGAAATCACTAAAGACAGTTGCTAAAGATAAGTAGAAGAAAAACTCCAAGAAACTTCATACATGAGCAGCAAGCCGAAGAATGGTGAGGAAACACACCGAGGATAAAGCAATCAAGGAACGAACCTGTAAGTCGTCGGAACCAGTTAGAATCCAGTTCTTTCGTGCCACGAACTTGACGGCCCGCACAGGACTTTGGCACACTTCAAAAGTCTTGATGAGCTGTTGGGTGTCGATGTTCCATACATGCACATTGCCATTATACAACGCGGCACATATCCAAGGTTCTACAGGATGAATATCCACCGACTTGACTCGGTCAGAACGTGCAAGCAGCTTTCTCTTGGTATCCAAGCGGAGAGGCATGACTAGTCGGCGGATAAGTGGTAGCAATTGGTTGGAGTAGGATGAGATAGTTTTGGTGTGTACTGATCCGAGTGGGAAGTGAAAGTTTTAGTGAGCTGAAAGGGAGAAGTAGAGTACAGCAGACCATAGGCAAGAACGTGAAACACAAGGAAGTACGCGTCTGAATAAGTTAACAATTGCATCAGAATTCTAAAAGACAAGAAGGCGCACCCTACGATCAGTGTTAAACCAGACACCTATGGTCACAAGTTTCAACGATTCTTGTTCCCCTCTCGGCTCTCCGAAAATGTTAGCTTCGGTGCTGGAAGCTTAATCTGTTAAAGTGCACTCTTACGCAACAATCTGCAGTTGTCATTTCGTTAAGGTTTTCATGCCAGTAGTTCACAAGCTACATAGCAGAGCCTAATCCGGGAAGGCACCCGACGCGTTTCGCCTTACTGGGGCTCGTCAGTGGTGCGCATTCCACCGGTCCTCTAAGGAGGATCGAATCCATGACCGCTAGAGGCAGATGCCAACTAGCCAGCAGCTTAAGTCACTGAGCCATGGGGGACGTTGTCTGGGCTATATAAGTTGCAAACTAACTGGGATATAGTACCATCTATCTTCCACTGTCACTGACAGTGGTAGCCTGTGAAGTGATGACGTCCTCTCAATAGACGCTGTATCCATAGCATTTTGAAACTAGGAAGGGCTATTTTATGTTACTGGTAAGTAGCAGGATTATAGTTGTCATTTTGTTAAGGTTCCCATCCCTGTAGTTCACAACCTACATAGCAGAGCCCAGCCAACGTCCCCCATGGCTCATTGGCTTAAGCTGATGGCTAGTTGGCATCTGCCTCTAGCAGTCATGGGTTCGATCCTCCTTAGAGGACCGATGGAATACGCACCACTGACGAGCCCCAATAGAGCGAAACGCGTCAGGTGCTTTCTCGGACTAGGCTCTGCTATGTAGCTTGTGAACTACTTGGATGAAAACCTTAGCAAAATGATAACTAAAATCCTGCTACTTACCAGTAATCTCCAGTTGTTTTAACAGAGCAAGGACGACGAACATTGCGGAATAGTATTGATTCAGTATATTTCGTGTATTCTCTTCAGCCGCTTACATACAATGGGTGACGATCAAACGGTTGAGAGTAATAGGTCAATACTAGAAATCGATGGTTAGTTGCGCTAGCTAGCCTGTCTTATTTCACAATGAAAAAGCAAGATTGGCCAAACTCAAGGCGTTTGCATAGGTTAGACTACGAACGCCGGATATTCTGTATACAATCGGGGAGACAATATGCAAAGCTATCGAGTAAGAGCAGGCCTACTTGCCACTGAGGTAGCAGTACGCCACGACCTGAGCGTCCAGAAGAGTACGGTACAGACAATGCAGTTGCTGTGGCCCATCAGACGAGAAGAAGTAACTGCATCCCGCAAAACCCCCTGATTTCAAACTGTAAGAACCCGAGGTGCAAGCGGACTTATTTGTTGTTGCAAATATAGCATGTACCAGGTGCATCGGTTCTGACCAACGAAATTTCCACTCATCTATGCACTCCCTATTGGAGGCTGCATGCCGCGGGTTGATAGGTCTGGTGGTTGTGTGGCGTGCATTGCGAATGTGTCCATTCCACGCCTGCATACAAATGCGATTCCGAAGTGTTCCATTTCTTTCTGTGAGTCATTACGGCCTGCTGCTGGCTACTTGCGTTTGGCTTCTACTGATAACTAGCGCAATAGTGTCTGCAACTAGTGTATATGACCAGATGATTGGCATCATAATCACAAATTAAAGTAGCTAATCAGTTGATTCCTTGTTATAGGGACGATAACAACAAATCTTTTCTTACCGTATATTAATGTATAAGCCTAAGAAAAAAGTGTTTGCTTGAAGCATCGTGTTTTTGCTTCTCTTTTTGAGCTTTACGTAATAAATGAGCATCGTTCAGAATTACATTATTCCAATACTCTGGACTTCGCGGAACAAGTACAGTATAACGACACAAAGACTGGGATAAAAAAGCAATGTTCCCCAGACGGTTCGATTCAACAGATGCTAAGCTTATATTGTTCAAAACGCACACGTCCAATACTAGAGTACTGTTTTTTAGTTTACTTAAACGCACAGCAGTGCGATGTATTGGAGTTGTAGCGCGTTTAAGGTAAATTTACGAGATTGATTCTTGATTCCAATCATCGCCATCATTACATACTAGCTGAATATGAGAAACACTTGAACCATTGTGCCGCAATACAAAAGGTATATGAAAAAGCGGGATAGCAAACATAATAGAATACCAAAAAGCAGTAGGTAACATACTGCTTGGTAATATGTTAGGCTATAAGACAGATCGCGGTTGTAGGGGGAAGACAAGCAAGGTGGGGAAAGACAAATAAACTGGTAACACAAACGCCTCTGAGGTCGGCTCTTTGCCATGTCAGAGTGTATCCAACCTGACTTGTTCGTCGATACACAGCCCGGTAGTCGGAAGACACAAATCGACGCCAACTTCGAAATGAGGGCCATCACTGCTCTTGAGCAAGTCATCACTCGGCCTCTATTCCTCTTCTTCCACACCCTGAGTGCGCAATGCACGACGAGAAAGTCGGTGTGCTGGCATGCACAACAGGTTGCCCAGCCAACGGAGCCTGATGTGTGAAATAGCGGTGCTGAGCGGTTCATTCGCTTTTCCTTGCTCACAAGGTACTCCCACCAGACATGAGCTGACCTGCAAAGGCAGCGACGATCAAACGTAACCAGAGGAATTGATCGGCCAGGTTTCACAACCATACAGGGGGGTTGACTGGTGGCAAGCATACTAAACTTTGCGCCCCAGGACGAGTGATGTCGCGCAGACGCCACGGGTGGCGGAGATTGGTGAAAACGCTTCGAGCTTTTGCTTCATGGCCTGTGGTTTCATTTTCTATTCCAATCGCGCTGCTATAGCTGCCCAGATATTTGAGTTTCTCGACGACATCTAGCTGGTCACAAGAAACAGTCAGGGCGGAAGTGGATCCATGCCAATCTGGGAGGAATGTGCATTTCGACGGTGCAAAGCATTGCCCGAAACAAGTGACATACAATGCTAATAAGTTGAATGCGACTGTGTACGAATGGGAGCAGTCACAGATGGGCCTAGGCCATCGATGCACTCCTAGTCAAGAAGTCGTTCACCTGGGACCAGCTCCACACCTTTAACATCGTGCCTAGTAAATGCGAAATGGTGACAGCGGGCATCCCTGTCTTACACCGCTGGAGATATAGAAGGGCGGCGACAGTTTGCCAGAAAACATCGCAGTGCCCGAGTTAAGCGCGTACAGCGCTCTGATAATGCTTACGTATTTATCGGATATACTCTTCCGCAGCAGACAGTCCCAAATGGCACGTCGATCAACCGAGTCGAAGACACTCTTCATTTTGAGGAACACGGCTACGGTGGTTCGCATATAAAAATGACGGTGCTCCAACAATAGACGGAAACATGTGATCGAAACAAACGCGACTTCGAGGAAACCCGAATTGCGCCTCAGAAATATGGCTTTCACGAGTGACAGTCAGTTTACGAAGAATGACAGAGGCTACTAGAGGCAAATGTGATCAGACTGACCCATCTATGATTGCCGCATATGGAAGGAGAGACCCTTTTCGAAAATTAGGACTATTATGGAGCGGCTTTAGTTTCGTCGATCCCGCAGCTTCACGAGTACATTGTGAAGATTATCTACAAAACCAGGTCCTCCGAATGTGAAGAAGGCTGGAAGAAACCCATCTCCTTCCGCGACGTTAAGAACTTTCAAGGTCTGATTTAACGTTCAGCTTCCGCGCGAGGAGGCGAGACAAATGAGATGACTCTGGGAAAATGGTGATTATTCGACGAAGAAAAGCTCGCAACTAAAGCTACCAGTAAAAGCGTTCGGTCCAACATTCCAAGTGTATTAACAAATCGTAGATTGGTCACCCACCCTTGTCACGTATGCTCTCGCTAACATCAAGTCTCATGCTTTCATTTCGCGAATAAGAGGGAATAACTTCCGATGGTTACCAAGGACAGCGAGCATTTCCAACTCCGATGCATGATGAGACTACTAGGCTTCGCAGTCTCTCTTCAGACTAGCAGGCAGTTCCGCCCTGAAAACTTTGCGAATACCATTGTGTTCACTTCCAGCCGGAACACATTAGTGAGCGTCGTGGAAATCTAGAGACTGCGTGAAGACCCAATGTCCAGGTTGGCATTTTGATCTGCAACATGAAGACATACCTGCTTATAACAATGTCTGGCGAATATGCGACCGGTGACTCTCAAAGCCGTTCAGGCAGTGCCTACTCACTCCGGATGCCACTGTGCTTTGTCACGCATTCAGAACATCTGGATTCGCCAGTTGGTAAATGCTTAGTCGTTCACAGTGATCAATTCGCGCCAAGGACTGATGGGTTCCATGCCACTTTTCTGCGGGCACTGTGTCGAAAGTTAATGCTCGCGAGAAATAGACAAACATGTTCACACAGGTGTAAAAACCTCTCTGTGTTATGATTACAAGAGCCCACGTGATGTTGGCCGCCCAAATGAAGCTGAGTAGTGGACAAGCTTTTAACTTGAACATTGAGATCACAAGCAAGCACTTCACTAGCTGAACATTTTCTGCAACGAAGGAGCGCGTTCAACTGACAATTAAAGACCGCAATTTTCCGCGACTCCGTGAAACGCGGAAAAATAGTGGAAAATGAATACTTTTGCGGAAAAAATAAGAAATGCATAAAGAAAGGTATTTTGAAGTTGTATTTGTTGTAAGCAATATAGTTGTGTATGGAATAAACGCCTAAGGAGCCAGTTGGCTATTGGAACATTCCTCTGAAGTATCATAACTGTCATCGGTCTACCATCTGCTATCCAAGTCCCGTTGTCTCCCCATTCACTGATACGGCCACGGTTTTAAACCGACCTGTGTCACCCACGAATCCATCCACTAAGCAATCATAGACCATCTGTCTACTCACGCTGTGCACGCACTCCTTTGTCCATTATACGAACGCTCCGCCCGTTCACATCTTTCGTGCACACCTTGCTGGCACACAAGGCCTCCAATTACGATCCACCGCGAACTTGATG